TACTATTACTTTAACAAGAAGGAAATTGGGTTGGCAAAGCTAACGAGTTATAGGCAGTAATTACTAATTAGGCACAGAGTGGTCTACCTGAGTCTTTAGGCACTAGCATATTTAAAAAATAAAATTTTGTAGAGCCTCTTTAAATCACTACTAAATAAATGTCGAAAACCTAGGGTTAAAATCGACGGAAGCACTCGATATATCGTAAATCACACATACTTTTCGTCTGTTGTTTTCGGGGGTGAATTTATTGGCAAAATTGGGACACGTGAATCTTGGTCACTCCGTAAAAATTTTTTTTTTTTTTTTTTTGCATAACTCTCCGTAAAATTAAGTATTTTATGTATATATTTTCTGAAATTGATTAGATATAATATTATCTGTTGACACTCATGTTATACAAGACTAAATGGTGCATTTTGTTGAAGATTGAGTTATTCACCTCGAGGACTTGAGATCAAATCCCATTAAATACATTTTTCCACTTTTTTTTAGTGGTGCACTCATGTTTTAGAAATGAAGTCGTTTTCGTCAAATACGGCTCAGATGGTCCAACTATATATGGTGGTGTGTCATGCATAATTGCCTAACTGTAGTTGACTGCAAGCAATTATTGAGATGCCTAATTGTTTGTTCAATGCAATTATGATCTTAATTGTCTTCCCGCCAAGTATATATGTGGTTAAGGATCAAAAGGAGTTTTAAAGCAAAAGTGCAAGATCCAAATTGTGGTCCATATATGTGCCAAATAAGCTTACTCTCTGCTGATTTTGTTTGTTCAACCAAATCAAGCGGAGATCATGACCTTAAACTGAATCCATTCAACTGTTAGATCGACGGGTGGTGTGTCTGTCGAGCACCACACATATTTTTGCTACTTCATCAATGCATTGGCGATAGCCCACATAGCAAGCTACACTGACACCGGCCTTACCCGTTTGGCCTGCATATCAAATATTGAACTGATCACAACGGATATATATAAATCACTTTGTAATTTTATGGGCAACTTATAGAAATTCCACTAGTTTAAGACCTAATTACTTATATTCATGATAGTTTGGTATATTACATTATGTACCAGATTTTAGTGATCGGATAAATGTATTGAGTTGCTTTAGATACATAAATTTGAGATACAATTGAAACGAGATACTTATTTTAAAGTGTTTGAATTAAATGATTTGCTCAATCTATAGAGTAATTTACCATTGTTAATAACTTTTGAGGATCTACAACATAACAACTTCAAAAAACATTCTAAATTCATTCTTTTTTAAGAAACATTAAAAGTGTATAGAATCTTCCTCTTTCCATTAATTCAATTTTATTTCTTCGAATCTTGATCTATGTTTTTTTTACGATAGCCATTTTTATTCCAGATCAAAACTGTGACGGTGAAGCTATTTTCACGATAGTCAGATTCATATACATACCAGATACACTAAGATGAAAATCAAATACAAGACATTAACAACTTAGATGCATTAACCATAAGCAGATACAAGACATTGAAAGCTTATAGATTTGTGTATATGATTTAACTTTTTAAAAATATATGATATAATTATTAAAAAGTGATATTATTAGCAATATTTTTAAACTTTAGGTAATATATATATATATAGTTAAGTGTGTCTAATTATAATTATGTAGTTTTTTTTTTCATTTTTTATTGGGCCTAATGCATACAAGTTTTGGACTTGTTTGTAAAAGAGGATAAAGTGGGTTTATTGGAAGAATTGAGTTGAATCTACTCCGGATTAACATTAGAAGAGTGAATATTAAATTTGAAGTAATTTGGATTGCTAAAATTTCTATACAATAAGTTATTATGATTATAAGAAGTTTAGCTAATTAATCTTGATGAACCGGTGGAATTTCAGAGTTAAATACTACAAGAACCTGACGATCTTTTAGTATCAAAGTATCAAACATTAGTCACCCCTCAAAGAAAACCAGTATATTGTAATATTTCATTATCAATTCTTTTTCTTTCTTTTTTTGTTTTGTTTTCTCACCAACTTTTACACGAACCAAATAAATAAATCATTAAAGTGACAGAAAAAAAGATCAATGAAATTTATGATAACAAAATTTGAATTTTCCTTAGTCCTAGTGTTTAGGCCTAACTTCAATGCCTTCAATGACAAGTCCACCCTTTACATGGAATCCCTTCACCTCCTTTAAACTCACTGTAAATTCCTCATCTTCATCTTCATCTCCACCATTGAATAATTCTCCTAACTCAATTTCCATCCATCCATCTTCCCTTTTATACGGCACTCTTTCATACCTCTGTTTTTCATCCGGCAGATCTTTTTCGCCGTTCCGGTGATCCAGAGTCGCCGTGTGAACATCTTTCCGATTGCCGATTTCCACACTAGTCTCAACCGGCACTGAACTCAGACCAAATGCACGATCTGAGATTTTCATTATGAAATAAATTCCATAATTCGTGTTTGCAGAAAGCATACTTGTCCTTAGCTTTGCTTTTACTACTAATTTGCATATCACTTTCAGTTCAGCCACTTTTGAGAACCTGTGGGAGAAGGAAAAAAAAAACAGAGCACGTTAGAATTTTCATGAATGTAGGAAAAGATTGAATCTTTTCAATATAGTTACTTGAATTATTGAATACCCATTATTTATAAGCTAAAATTAAAGGGAATCGAGCGATCAAACCTTGATTCTGGCACAGATTTCCAAGTCCAATGATCTGGTTCTTCCCCATATAAAAGGGACAATTCTTCAGCTGAGATTATATATGATTTTTTCCCACTTGATTTCTCTATCGCAAAGCTCTACAATTATAACATTAACAATTATATAAAAATGAAGCCTTTTAAAATGGAAGATTGTAAGATGAATTCATTTGTATACATACCTTGTTACCACCATCAATGAGAATTGAATTGCAGAGACGAATAAAAAGCTCTTTTTTAGAAGAATAACTCAATGGTATGACAGATTTGTCAATAATTTTATTATAATCAGAAGGCAATAATGTTTGCCAGACAAAATCAGATGCTGCCACAAATCGGAGAAAGGATGAAACCAGAGAGAAACTAATTGTATCCTTAGGTGAAGTAAGAGAAAGAATTGAAGAAATGCAATCTTCTGGTAATTCATTGAATACATCCATTACCTACTGTTTGCCTTTTTGTTGATTTGGGCTAATTTTTGTTGAAATTAGAGTGAGATTATTTGATTAATGTATATATAGTGGAATGGTCTAATAATGTGCAACTTTGAAATGATTTCATTCAAATTAGGATGAGTTGGTGTGCCTAAGTAATATATGTGAAGGAGAATCATTTGTCTCTCTCAACCTCGTTGGATACTTTTTTTTTTATAAAATATCTACGAGCTGATATTTCAAACTTTATCCGTTCTATATTTAGAAAATGTTTGTCTGGATATACAATTAGGATAGTTTTAAATTGAGCAACTTTCACGTTTAGAATGTTCTATCGTTTCAATTTATTTTTCTGGTTTTGATTAAGTAAAAAGTTTAAATTAATAATTTTAAAATGTACCAATATATTCTTTAATTTTGTATGTGGAAATTTAAAATTAAAGAGCTGTCCGAAAAGAAATAATTATTCTTTTTTTTAAAATGGACTAAAAAATGACAAAAGAAATAAATTGAAAGATATGAAGTATTTTTTTTAAAAATTGTCATATAAGTTGGGTCATAAGTAGTCAAGTACTAACTTATTTATCATCATTTGTTTGCTTTTAAAGAAGAAGGTCATTTAATTAAAGATTTCTGGTGGAATTCATTGAATGATTGTGAATCTATAGGAATGGTTATTGGTGGAATTGCAATTTGACACTTCAAGATAGGGAGGTAAAAAGTTAAAATTAAATTTGAATCTACATAAAATCATATATATTCGTAATTCACCCTGCCTCACATTAATTTTGAAAAGTTTCACTTCAACTTGCCCCGTATCCCTCCTGCCCCACACTACCTTAAATCCACCCCGCCCCATTGCCAAAGGCCGAAGCGAAGTTCATTTTCACTTTCTTTCATAAGGTCTCAGTAAAGAGTATATAACATTAAAATCAGAGGAACTTTCCTTTGAAGTATGACCGACAAATTAAGAGCATAGGTATAATTATTAACCAAAGAGAAAAATAGCACAAAAGAGAAGGGAAATTTCTGTGAAAAGAAAGCGTGTGAAAATCTTTAGTTGTCAGTCAATTTTGGTTTCTTCTTTAGTTTTCATCATTTTTATTTGACTCCTAGTATTCCAGGATGTCCACAAATACTACTAACAATTTCAAAGGATTAAATTTACACATGTGTTATTAGTTTTGAATAAAGGTAAGTTGTTAGGATCTCAGTCAATGTGTGTAACAACTAATATCTTGGATCTTATTGGCTAACGAGTTCAACTTGTATATATTATTATAAATTATAATTGTGTACTTTCTTTGTTTCATAAGTATTAAAAATAATTATTTTTAATTTACTTTGCTTAATCTATAAGAGATATCATTTTTTTCTTCTTATTTACAATATTAAATAATTACTTAAAATAATATTAGTATATAAATTTAAAATTTTAAAACATCATTAAAAATATAAGACGGAGCAAATTTATCATCAACCACATTCTGCCAATTTTATTTAACTTATATACTCACATTTTTTTATTTTTTTACATCATCAATTTATTTTAATCTATTACAGTAAATTATTTGCTTTAATTTACTATGACTAGTTTCACTTATTTTGAATAGTTATAAATAACTATTGTTTAAATGATTTGGTAGTAACATTTTTTTTCTTTCACTAGCACTGCATAGTTGTTATACTCTTAAATAACAACTTTTCAGTAGAAAACGAAGAAAATAAATAAAAGAATATGTTCGTTTACATACAAAAAAATAATCTTAATCTCTTCACACGACAAATAGCATTTAAAACCACAAAATTAGTTTACATAAAAAAAAAAAAAAAAAAAAAAGAGGACATCCCACTCTTATTATTTTTTTTCAAAAAAGAAAAAAAAGTCTCATGTTTGGCTAGTGTTTAGGCCTTAACTCAATGCCTTCAATGATAAGGCCACCCTTAATATGATAGCCCTTCACCTCCATTAACTTCATTATGATCTCTTCATCACCATTTCCTCCATTGAAAAACTCTCCAATCTCTATTTCCAACCATCCATCTTCTCTTTCACGAACCATTTTTTCCTCCCCTTTTTTCACTCTTGCTTTTAACGCTTCCACTCTGTTCCTGTAAAACAGAGACTCCAGCTTCTTGCTCTTTGGGTGCCGTAGATAAGCAGTACTGCTGACGGATTCTTGATCTCCCACTGAAATACTGATCTCCGACGGAATAGAATCCAACCCGAATGATCGATCCGAAATCTTCATGAGTAGATAAGCTCCGTATGTTGTGTTTGGAGATAGATCCCCTGTTTTCATCTTCCCCTGTATTTCTAGTCTGCATATTGTTTTCAGTTCAGCTACCTCTGCAAACCTGGAAAGCGATTAGGATTAAAAATTCGCATTTACAAGTAATAATATATTACCATTGATAAGCAAAATTAGAGACTAATATTTTACTCTGATTCTCTATCCATGCTTTAAAAAGAAGGGAATTTACCTTGATTCTGGAATAGCTTTCCAGTTCCAATGAGTTGGTTCATCTCCATATAAAATAGAGAGCTCTTTTGCAGACATGACATATGACTTTTTCCCGGTTAGTTTATCCAAAGCAAAGCTCTGAAACATGAAAATAAAACAAATGAGTTACAAATATGCGTTAAAATTGTCTCCCACAGAGAGCTGGAGCTAGGTGGGGTTTATGGTTCAGACGAATGCATTAACTCTTTTGTAGACCTTATATTTGTATTAAAAAATTAAATAAATATATGTATATTAACATATAAACCCCAAATTCCTAAGTCCTAACCTTGGCTCCAACTCTGCCACACATATGGAGAGCTAGTCCCCAAAAATGAAGAATTTGGATACCAATATTTGAAAAATGCTTATTTCAGTGTTTATATCAAATTAATAAATACACATCAGCTAGATATTCGTTTTATTAGTTAATCACGATTAAGAGTCAAGACTATCTATATAGGATATGATTTAAGTTTTGTACACGGATATATAAAGATGTAAGAATTTTTTCCAACATATGATTCATACTAAGTGTTACCTTGTTGCCATCGTCTATTAGAATGGAATTGCATAAGCAGAAAAAAAGGTCTCTTTTTGAAGAAAACTTCAAAGGTGTGACTGATTTTGTAGCAATATGTTGCCAATCAGAAGGCAAGAAAGCATCCCAAACACAATCCAACTCTGCCACTGACCGGAAAATTGAAGAAACCAGTGACAATTTTATTGCATCACGAGGAGAAGTGAGACATATTATGCTACTAATACAATCTTCTGGCAGATCATATAAGTGCTCCCCTGTTGCTACCATTGTTGTAACTTGTAACGTTTACTATTCTTTTTTTTTTGTTGAGGAAATCAGAATGACAGGAAACAAGATCCCAATCAAATAAATATAGATATTTCACAAGTATATAGCAGTTTGAATGACATACACTCTATTAATATATATAGAGATAATAGGGGGCACGTAATGATTGAGCGAGTACTTATGGAGAAGTTTCCTTATATAATTCACCTGGTAAGTCACATGGTTTTGGTCTTTGCTTTATCAATATACTCTGTGCGTCTCAATTTTTGTGTCTTAGTTTAATTGAGTACGAAATTAAAAAAAATAATTAAATTTTATAATCTTAAATTAAACATGTATATAATTTTTTAAATCTTGTAATCTTAAACTTGCGATGTTTCAAAAAAAAAAATGGGAGATTAGAACAGAGAAAGCTGGTCCACTATCGGTAGTCATAGAAAAGGCCATAGGCATGACATGTCTAAACTGGTCAAATCTTTGGGGAATATTTTTAAATAAATACACCGATGACTTCACATTGCAAATTTTGGTCAAAATCTGTGTTATCAACAATTCTCTTTTGACCGGAAATTAACAACTACTCCCTCCGTCCCTATTTACTTGTTCATATTTCCTTTTTTAGTTGTCCCTATTTAGTTGTCCATTTTGACAAATCAAGAAAAGACAACAAATTTTTTCTTATTATACCCTTATTTACACTTCTTGAAAATTGTAAAAGTGTATGTTGTTTTCCTCCAATTTATTTCACTTTAATTCAAATAAGTGGTTGTAATTTTGAAGTGAAAAGTTGTCATAAGGGTAAAATTGTAACTTCACTGTGCTAATCATTGTTGCCTTAATCTGTGTGCCATTTCTAAAGTGGACAACTAAAAAAGGATGGAGGGAGTATTCAATTTTATGTAAACACAGTGTCACAATTGGGAATCTCAATTTGTTCATGACTACTGGTAAAAATAGAATCACGTGTATACACACATCAACTAGTCTTTCTTTAATCCATATCTGGAAAAGGTGTTCAATTTGGTTTGTTATAGGACTTTTCAAAATCTTCAAAATTTTAACTAACTGCAAAAAGTGTGATATTATAATAGTGCCAGTATTTCATATTATTATTTTTTGGACGAATTAAAAATCAATTACAACTTGGTAGTTAGCTGAATCATAATCCAAGAGCACGGAACCATGACAGGAGAAAAAGACACATATTCTATGGAGCCTTTTTATTGGTGGGAGGGTTTGATGATCCCAAATTGACGAGGCCTTTGTTCTCTATCGGATTTTAGAACGAAGACAAAGCTATTTAATGCAAACTCAACTTGGCAGACTTATTTGGTGTGCGCTATAGGACTGCCACTTGAACCACTTGGACAATTACTTGGTTCAATCTTATACTACTACTGAAAACGAAAGAAAAAGGAAATGTTCAATTTGATAGAGGCATTTTTCTTTTTAAAGATTATGGTGTCTAGGCCAACTTTCACACACTTCGATTAATTCTACGGGATAGCTGTAACATGTAACATGTAACATATAATTTTGTCCACCAAAGCTAGGACATATGGAAAGAATTAACTAGTGTTTTTTTTTTTTTATCTTCGATGAGTTTTGAATTAGTTACTTTTTAGGAAAAATTACCTAAATACACAACTTATTTTACTATATTCTCTAAAATTTCCTACCGTTTGAAAAAATTACAAAAATTTCTACTTTATGCGATGTTTCGGTCGGATGCATTACTTTATGCGATGTATAGGGACGTATGCGATGCATCAAGACGTTACTTTAAGCGATGTATTAGTCGGATACATCACTTTATGCGATCTATCGATCGGATACACCACTTTATGCTATGTATCGGGACGTTGAGTGATGTATCCGAAATCAAGACGCGATGTATTGAGACGTTGAGTGATGTATTTGAAACCAAGACACGATATATCAGGACGTAGAGGGATGTATCCGAAATCGGGATATGATGTATCGGGGCGTTTTGGATGTATACGGATTTCACCAAATTTAAGGATTTTTTGTAATTTGAAAAAAAATAGGAATATGATGTAATTAGCTCTTAACACTATAAAATTTGTGTAAAATCTACTCATTTTTACACTTCACATTGGCTCAATAATGTGAGTAAAAAAGTAAATCTACTGTATAATTGGTCCAAGTGCACACATATCTGCTTAGGGGATCACTATTTAAGATATAGCCATAATATAAAGTATTTAATGTTTAGCAGCCACTTCATATTAATCAACTTGACAATTTTTTTCCCCTTCAACCCATGCTGATTACTTGAGCTATATATGTAATTTGTTCTCTATCAAGTTTGCCATCTTTGTTTCCAACAATTTCTTCCACAAGTGTAGTATTGACTGGCTGGTCAACAATTATTGGATGCCGATTTTTTACGTTTCATCACAAAATATATACCATCCAAAAGTCCAAAATTACTCGCGACTTTTCCAATATTAATATTTTAGCTTGTTCGAGTTTGAGTTTTTTATCCCTTGGAAACCCTAACAATCCATATATGATGTTAAGCCCACTTATCTCTAGCCCATGAGCAAGCAATCTCTTCCATGTCCTCTTTAGAAAGGAACTATTCACTAGCTACCAAAAGAAACAAACAAAAATAGGAGACCCTTTTCACACCTTAAAATAGCGGCAACGCAAATTATAGAACTCCGACAATTAACTCAATATATAAACAAAGCAGATCACATGACACTTATTTTGTTTTCAAAATCCAATACAGAAATGAGGGGAAGAAGAAAAATATTTTCTATATATCAGTATCTAAACGATAAAGAGTGAGATGAAAAAAAACAATTGCCTTTTCACATTTTTGTCTACCAAAATAATTATTCTTTTCATTTTTTACTTGGATGATCTTGTTATGAATAGAGAGTATGGAGTCAATTCGACATATCAGGTCGTCTTTATTATATTTATACGCTATTTTGTAACGTGATCCTTCCTTGTCTTTTAGCCTAGAAAAGCTAATTATAGTATCTAGAAACCATTTTTTTGTTCAAGTAATTAAATACAAACATGTTTAGTCGAATGAAGTAATTAAATTGATGTATTGGGTCATTGATGCTGGTAAAAATATCCGATCTGAATAGTTGCTATACATGGCACCGACACGACGAGAAATATGTTATATGACAATAGTTTACGCACCATCGTGGTTTAAAAACATACAATTTTTTTTTAGTCGAAGGAAACTGCGAAGATAAACTCGAAAAAATGCATGCAATAGTTATTCATTATACTCTACGTCTCAATTAATATGACACAATTGAAATTTTGAGACTCAATCAAATTTTTCTTTCATCAAAATTTCTTTTTATGTTTTTCTTTTTTAATATTTTAGTTAGATTGTCAATTATTATGATTTAGAGTACTTTTAAAGTAGTTTCCAAACATATAATTTTCATTTAAAAACATCTAAGGCTTATGTATTCGAATTAACAGTTAAAATTTAATATCATTTTTAGATATATATATAAGTGGCTAATTATTTTTTTTTTACATAAATTTATTATGGAAAGGTCCATTAAGATGTTCATAATTAATGTATTTTTTGTCATCAACCGTTAATTTCTTACGCAAAGTAGTTACAAGATATAAACAAATATTACCAACATTCAAAATAATAAAGCAATAACTAAAGATTATGAATTTAAAAATAAAAGTAATAGCTAAAACGGATTTCATAATTTCGAAAAAATTATACACTAAATCTTGAATTTAAAACTAAAAGTCATAGCTAAAAAGGATTCCATAGATTCAGAAAAATCATACACTAATTAAATTAAAGTAGAACAAAAGAAATAATTTTTCTTTAAAAAAAAATTCAAAACACATTGAAGGAGGCACGTCGATATTAAAAGCCATAGCTAAAAAGGTTCCATAATTTCGAAAAAATTATACATTAATTAGATTAAAGTAGAAAAAAAAAATTAATTTTTTTCAGAAACATACTGAAGCAGGCACGTCGACGGAGAACTAAAAGTCAGAGCTAAAAAGGATTCTATAATTTCAAAAAAAATTAGACACTAATTAAATTAAAGTAGAACAAAAAAAAAAATTTTGAATTTTTTTCCTAAACGCGTTGAAGCAGGCACGGCGATTTTACAAGTCTGCTAAAAAAGATTCCATAATTTCGAAAAATTATACACTAATTAAATTAAGTGTAAATTTTATATATGTCATATATTATAGTAATATTTTCAAGCTATAGCAGTAGATTGAGACTTTCAAGTTATAACATTAAAAATTTCAGGTTCTAACAAATAATTTTTAAAAAAAATTGTTTTCAATAATTGAAAAAAGTTGTTTAAATAAAATAAAGAGATAAAAGAAAAATGAAAAAAAATGTTTTTTAATGAAAACAGGTAATAAACTGAAATTGTGGTGTTAATTTAATTTGAATTTATTGTAGATAGTTAATAAATAGCATGAATTAAGAGATTTAAACTAATTAAGATTATTGAGTATCCTTAATTCACTCAAATCAATTAAAATCAAATAAAAATTCAGATTTTATCTTCTTCTTTTTTCGACGTTTCTCTCTCTTCAATTTGCAACAAAAAAAATTCAACGTTTCTCTCTTCAATTTTCAACAAAAAAAATAATCTCACATTCGAGTAATTGAAGTTTTTTTCATCTTTGAAAATCTTGATTTTGTTGTGATGGACAACTACGTATCAATTTTAATCAAACATGGTGAAAGATGGGATCCTTCGGGCTAGTATTTATTATTGTTTAACGTTTGTTTTAGAATGATAGCGAAATGAAACAAAAATGATCACCTGTCGATTAATTAAAGATGGAGTCATCTTTTGTTAACTATTGATATCATATTATGTTTACTGTTGTGAAATGTAAAAAAATTAGTGTTTTTTTTGTTTATTTGTTTATTTTGTATACAGTTGTTGTTTTGTGAAATTATAAATTTAATGTAATTTTATGAATAAATTTGATAGAATAAATTAAATGAATTTTGTATGAAAGTGTGCTAATTATTCTGTTAATTATAATGTTGACGAATTTGTGAAAATTTATTTTATTT